TGGTTATGTTTTCTAAACGTTAAAATCCAGTGGTAAAAACACCACAATTGTGGGGTTTTTAAGTTAATTAAGCTATGACCGTAATTCAGTTATCAAATGTCTGCAATTACTAAATTACGCTTGTAGCTTAACCAACGTCGTTTAAGCGCTTTAAAGACGTTCTTAACATCTTTTGAACGTTCAAAAGACGTTTTTTCTGGACCAAATTTCGGCTGTTCTATCATGAACACTTTAATACGCAAATGAAACTTTTACGTCTCTACAGAACATCTTTTGAACGTCCGAAAAAGACGTCTTTAAGCGTCAAATCTAGAATCAGTTTAGAACGCGTCCGAGACGTTCCGTCTGAACATTCATTGTACGTTTTTTGTACGTCCCCGTGTTTGCTGGGTAGGTTCTGTAAAATCTAGTTTTTTAACAGGAGATTCTTCAGTTTCTTCTCCTTTCGATGTAAAATGCGAAACTATGAATTTAGGTATAGTTTTTTTTAGTTTTACTTTCGGTATAGTTACGGTTTCAGGCGTAAAGAGCTTGAAAGATTTTTCAAATAATTTTGGCGTAGAAGCATCAAAATTTGAAGCAGTTTTTTTTGTTAAAAGTTTTTTAAACAAATCCAGTTTTGGTATTGCAGTACCTACTTTTAAATAAATTTCAAATTCTATAATATTAACGTTAAAGAATGTTCTAAACATTTTTTATAATTGGTAAAAAGTTTAGGCAATTGAGCGAGTTTAGAATTATAAATTGGACCCATCATCATCATCATTTCTATAATTGTTTTTTCTTTAGAATTATCATCACTATTATAAAAATGTCTTGTATTTTGTTTAATATCATTAAAAAACATTCCTTCTCCGTTTTTGTCGCAAGCATTCTCTACATTTTCTTTAAATAGAACTGCATCTTCTAAATCTCGAAAAGGAAGAAAAAGTGCTAAAGAAAATAAAGCTTTGAAAGTAAGATACAACATGGTTTCTCTAATTCCTTTACTTCCTACACTGTTTTCGTCGTAGTTATAAACCATCAAATCGTCAATTACTAAATTTGTCACTAAATAAATAATTATTTGTTATTAAATATTTTTTTAACAATTCAAACTTGTATCCGCGAAACATTTCACCGTAACGAATAACCCATTATTTACTAATCTTGCTGTCCGAGATATAATAGCTGAAGCTTTTTTAGATGAGAAACTGTGACTTGTTACATCTTTGCTATCGTTAAATGCGCTAGAGATAAACGAATACGGACGCAAAGCTAAGATTTTGTTGCACTCTTCTTCTTCTGTAAATTTTGTTTCATTTCGAAATGGAATGTTATATTTCAAAATATAATTTACAAAAGTAAGATTTTAAATTTACAAAAGTAAGATTTTTATATGAAAATAGTTCTGCTCATACTGTGAGGAGAAGTGAGGAGCGTTAAAAATTCGTTAGTATGAAAAGTAAATTGATTAGGGTCGTAATTTTTACGCATTGAGTTTTGGAAACGTTTTCTGCAATTGCAGCCTAAGACTGTTCAACATCAACAATATTGTTTAAATAAATAATGTAAATTTTTAAGTTATTTAACCCTATATGGTAATGTAGCCAAATGGCAACGCACTAGTAATGAACAGACAACTACCATTGTTTTGTTATATCACTTATTCTTTAGTGATTTCCCTCTAATATATCATCTTTTCATTTGACGTCACAACTTTTTGCGTACATTTTTTTAGCAACGCGTTGTATTTCACGAATCAGCAGCACGGCGCCTTGTTTTTATTATTTGTAAAAAGTCGGCTTATAAACAAATTTGCATTTAAAAAAATATTATCATTGTTATGATATCTTCAAATATATTTCTACGTTATAATACGTGTCACATAGTTCAACCTACAAAATCCTGCACCTGTAAACTTGATCTACAAAATAAAACATCTACTAAAAACTGGAAATAATTTTTATATGTTCTACTGAGGCCTAAAATGTTTTCAAGCAATTATAGGCCTTTTTTAATTCGACCGATTTATGACGTTTTCTATTTCGACCGATTTTTTTCTGAACTTATTTCACAGACTTTTAATTTCAACCGATTTGCTATAATTTGATTTTCGACCGAATATAGCGGAAATTCATTTCAACCTACTAGTCTGTGTTTTTACCGTTTTTCTCTTAAACTTTTAAAAAATTTTCTTCAAAAATCATTGGCCACAAATCAAGTTTCTGTTTCAAGAATTTAATCAACAAAAAGCCAGTGTTATATCAGCCTATGAAACCTTTTATTTTATTACTTTTATGTATTATTTCTACTATTAACTGCCATTTTTATTTAACCTAGATGCATGCAATAACAAAACACAAGTTTTTTTTTATTTTGTTTATAATTCACCAATAAATATCACTCACTATTTTAGTAAGTGTGTATATATACACACACACTTTAAGTGTGTATATATATATACACAAACTTTAGTAAGTGTGTATATATATATATATATATGTATAAATATATATATATATATATATATATATATATTATGTATTTATATATATATATATATATATATATACATATTATATATATATACATAATACGCAATACTATATTTATAATATATATACATATATATATATATATATATATATATATATATATATATATATATATATATATATATATATATATATATATATGTATGTATATATATTATATATATAGTATTGCAATACTATTTGTATGCAATACTATATTTATAATATGTATATATATATATATATATATATATATATATATATATATATATATATATATATATATATATTATATATATATATAGTATTGCGTACTATGGTACAAATAGTATTGCGTACTAAGGAAAGCAATCTGACATCATACTGAAATAGCTCGCTGCTGGAGGCTTCAGTACATACATAGACTGACAAATACCCTGACTCGCAGCGGAGTGCTGCTATCGATATATATATATATATATATATATATATATATATATATATATATATATAAATATATATATTATAGTTCTTTCTCAAAACGAAATTGTCTTTTTCAAACAATTAATAATAGTTTAATGTTTAATTTTTTAATCAAAATTAGATTTAACTTAAACTGTATGAAGTGCGGTAGTTGATTCAGCTGTTTTTTCTTATTTCTTGACCTACTGTTAATATTTTAGCATCTCTAATATAAGTTGTTTTTTAATATTGCTTTTAGAGTCTAATCATATATCTGATTATCTTCTAACAATATTCTGCAAATAGCATCACCATAAGCTGATGGAAATATATTTTGAGTATTTTATTTTCTTCACAACATACCAAACCTTTGCCAAAAATTGGGAAGTGTATGTTTCTTTTAAAGCATCGCATTTACCTAGCTGCAAAATGTGAACAATGCAACACATCACCTCAATCTTTTTATGTTTACACCCTGCTAGGAGAACTAAGGTTAGTTTTTTATCCGTAAATTGCTGCACTCTTGTCATGTTCCTCATCCTGTATAGCTTCATCTAGAAAACTTTTATCTGAATTTTTATATCATAGTATGATTGTCTGTAATGTTTCAAAGTGAGTTTTAATCATATTCAGCAACATAAACTACATAAAATATTACAAAAAACAATATGATCAAAATTAATTTTTAAAATATGCAAGCAATTTTTTGATTGTATACAAAAATAACTTTTTATATATCAGCTCAAGTATAATTAATAAAATATTAAATTTTTCGTGCCTTAAGGTGAGCAATCAATTAATCGAAACCTACAATATCAATATATAAAATGCTTTTTTTAGAAAATACGTAAAAAGTTTTTTTTAAAATTTTTATTCATATAAAAAATAACTTTAGATTATTTAGAAATCCCTAACAAAAAATACTCAAACTGTGATTATGAAAGGAGGAGCTTCACCTATAAATGTTTCAACTTTAGCTTCTTCAGTTCCTTGTGAAAACACCAGCTCCAGATAGCTTCAGCTCCAAAGCAGCTCCAAAGCCCTGTTTAAAACATTGAGCACTATATATATATATATATATATATATATATATATATATATATATATATATATATATATATATATATATATATATATATATATATATATATATATATATATATATATATTTGTAAGTTGTGATTTTGATATTTTTGATTTTCAACTGAAAATTTTTTATTTTTATATTTACACATAACTAAAACATTTACTACTAGTTTTCTAACCTACTAATTCATTGACCTACTGAATTTTCAACTTAAGTTATATTTAACCTAGCTTATTTTCAATTTTATAACTATTTCTATCTATTATGTATTTTGTATACTTTGTTGTTTATTTGAATCCAAGCCAAATTTGATCAGCCTTGGTGCAGTGGTTGAAACGCTGTCTTCAGAATCAGAAGGTTGGTAAACTTATTAATTGCTAACTTGAAAAAAAATTTGTTGTACTTGTAAAAAAAGTTTTCGAAATTTAAAAAAACAGTGTTAAACACCAATTAGATAATCAATTGAAAATTAATTTATCTCAAAGCGAATAAAAACAAAAATCTTGCAAAATAAATTGGTCGAAAACTAAAACGTCATAAACTCGTTGAAAATAAAAAAGTTTACGCCTCAGTACATTATCAGTACTTTTTGTTAGATGTTCTTTTTGTAGAACAATTTAGTGGGTTGAAATTTTTGTAGGTCTAACTATATGACACGGTTTATTTGTGTTTACATGTTTTAACTCGTGTTTCTAGAACACATTTAGTACAACTGTGTTATATTGTATAAGTGTGCCATTAATCAAAATATAAAGCTGCTTTTACTTTTTTATGTCAATACAAATGGTACAAAGAACTGTTTCCTTACATTGTTTGTAAATTTAATAATAAAGATTGTATTATACAGAAATGTGCAAATATTTTTTGTAATAACTCTTTTTTTTATTTGTCATTGTACCACAATGTGAAACCAAGAAGCCAGTTCCACTTGTCAAGCGCATGTGTTAATTATACTA